CGCGAGCCTATGCGAATCGTGCTGTGGTAGAAAAGGCGCAAACCTGCACGGAACAAAACCTATCGCAAGCCTCACGCATACAAGGCTGACTACGAATCTGAAATCGCATCACAAGTCACATACGAGCCTGCGAGGCGCAGAAGAAAATCGAGCACCGAGACACTCAATTCGAGGTGTTTAAGATTGCTTCGACTCGATTCGGGTTGTTGGTCCTCAGGGCTCGTTCCTGATTCTGCAGAGTTCCACAGCAGGCAGGCAATGTTCCAACTAAAACAGTATGTGGCTCTCATACTTCAGGCCGATAACCCCTCGAGCCTAAACGTCTAAACCTCAAACTCAATCGTCTCGCAAAGTTCAATCTGAGCGCCAGTTCCTGCTCTTGAAGTTTGGAGGCTCCCCAAGTAGTCCGTTACAAAGTAAACTGAACATCCACCATGAAGTAGCGTGGATTTGATTCTAGTTCCTGTTTTCGCGCACCCTCTTATGTCGTACATCATACACTTGAAACTTACTGTGCGGAATCGTCGTTCTGGATTTTGTGGGAGTTCTTGAAAAGGCAAGTGTGCCCACCCATCCATTGCAAAGCGACTAAAGCTCGTCCTAGAGTATACGAGAATTGTCGAAATGCAACGTCACGTCCCACACGATATTCTGTAGTATAGTCGTTGTAAATTTATGGGCGTGTTGTTGTTAGCACTATCTTTCTTCGGATTTGTTGAATGACTGAAAGCTGAAGTTGCTCAGGAGTTAGGGGGCCGCCGGCCTCCTCCCTAACGCCCAGCTTCTGTCGGTTCGAGACCTCCACAAGGCCGTCCACACGCTGACCCTGCTCGTCGAGTGCGCCACCTGGGTCACGCGGTTTAGGTGCAAGTTTTATGTTGGGGGCTTGTTCTGCTTTAGGAGAGGCTTTTGAAGGTTTAAAAGCTGTGATGGGGCTTAGGGTCTGCTAGTCACTGACAACACGCTTCTCCAGACGATGCCGGTAGCCTGGCTGACAACAGCAGCGTCTTCATGACCTCCAAAACCAGGCCGTACACCCTTTCACCTAAACCCTTTTCTGACACATAGACTGGGGTCGGTGCCAGGCCGAAAACTGAAACAGCAAACCACATGTAATTGTGTCAAAACCATGTGCCCAAAAACTCTACTGCACACACCCCAAAATCATCGTCCTCCACGACAACCCTCTAAACCTGAACCAGAGAAGCCCTGACGTCAACAGAGCACTGCCCAAGCCAGGCCAAGTCCGGCACGGGCAAGTACGTCCTTCGCCTTGCACCAGGCACCAAGCTCCTGCTTTCAGCAAAGGAGAGTATGGCCACTTTTCAATTTGCGCATGCTGAGGGACACGAAGGACATGGATCTTCAGATCTTCGTGACAAGGTGGGACGTAATCCAACGGGTGCGTCTGTGAACAATGTCACGAGATCACGGGGTTCCGACGGTTCCGTGAACTGGCTCACTACTGGCTCGCTGTACTCGGATCAGCCCCCGTCCGATTCAGATCCACGACTGCGATTCGGTGCACACAGATCACGGCCTTTGGGCATTGAGCCATGCACTCTTCAGGAAACGACAGAGGGCTTGTAAGGCGGCGTACAAGCCCTGCACGCCGACCCCTGCAAGCCCGAAACCCCGCCAGCCCCGAACTTTTCGCCACCCGTCTAGCCATGCTACCTCCGGTTAAGGTTGAGGTCTTCCTAGAAGAATACTGGGGTTTACAAGAGAGAACTCAAGATCATATGTTGTTCTTCGGACTCGGCGAACAACTTATGATCTGGAGTTCTCTTCTAATTGGGAAGACCTCAACCTTAAATGTAGGCAATGACCTGCGACTGCTGCAGAAAACAGCTCAGAGCTAAAACCCTTTTTGCATCCGGACTTGAGCAGGCGACCGAGAACCGTAAACCCTAGACTCTAAGCGTCGGGTTACTTGCAAACCTTGATCCTCTTGGTGCAACGAGACTCAAATGCAGGCTTTGTCTGAATGGGAGCTGACTTAAGGCACATCTGACCCGTCACCTGCACCCTCGGGTCGGTAACTCCAGATCAAAGTCAGACTGTTTTCACGCTGGCTGAGAAAGTCCGGGTCAGACGTCCAGCCGGAAAAGCATACCCGTCAGAAGCGAGCCGACATGGACTGCTGCGCAGTGCAACGGGTAAGGAATGCTTGACCAGATCGGCAGGACCCGGACAGTGGACAGGCAGAGGTGTCAGACAGTAGGTACACAAAACGTGGCAAAAGGCAAGGTGTGCCATCGCTTTCGTCCCCTCCCCGGCCCCCTCCTCTGTGAAAGTCGGAGAGAGCGAGGAAGAGGCCGCAGCGATGACAGGCAGGTCAAGAGGCAGTATGATGGCAAGAGCGTCGGGCAGAATATCCAGCGAATGATGCGGTGAACAGGGGACGGCGGGTGCTTCAAAAGAGAGATGTAACGGACAACCGAGGCAAAACAAGTGACGGATGCACCTGTGTGGCGGGCATTCGTTCAATCACCGACGTTGCCCGCAGCTTCACATCCAGGGCAACGGAAGCAGTGCCATGAGCACTGGTCAAGGCAAAGCAGAATGATGTGCCGCGGCTTCTTCTCTTAAGAAGCCGACATTTGCCCAACCCACCATTTTTTTCAGGGTTCTGCGCATCGCCCACGCTCTCTCAAGAGCATTGGGGGGGAAGAAGGGGGGGGAGGTGGGGGGGGAGGGGAAACCTCCAAGTCCCTTCTAAAAAAGAGCCCTTTGGATCTCGGGAGGTACACCAAGTCACTAAGTGCAAGCAACAGAACCTACACTTGGGGTATCTTGGGGTCACAGTTGCAGCTGCCAACTACTGAGCCTCAAGAAGCGGAGTCAGGCTCGGGTTCAGGGTTGGGTGGCTTGGTTCGGGGGCTAAAGATGAACAGTTTACGAGCATTAGACTGTTGTTGCAGTAGGGCCTCTGATGCAACAGAAGCTTGGGGTCTCAGCCTAAACCTGCTTGTCTTCCTGTCCGTTGCGGACACAAGTACTTGATATGCTCTCTCCGACACTGGCTAGTCTGCCATCAGCCCCTCCTTCTTCATCATCTTCAGCAGCGGCAACCTGACGACCATGCTGGCCGTCATGGCTGTCCCGATGTTCCCGGGCGAGGAGTTGAGGTAGCCTCAACACGACATGGACGACTTAAGAGGGGTCTAAGGCTTGTTCTGGGTTAGGTTGCAGGAGAGAAAGCCCTCACCCTAACCTCCCAGTCGGCCTAGACGGTCGCTCTTCGCAAAGCCACCGGCGACTCGCTCCATCGCAGCAAGTAGAGGCGCCTGTGCTCCGGGTAGACGGCCCCAAGATTTCAACTCCAGGCTGATTTAGCTTCAGGCACTCACGTCTCAGAAACAGGTCGCGTGTCGAGGTGAACTTCTCCTGCTCTGATCGCACTGTTTCCTTGGGAACCTTTAATGGCTCAAGGCTTCGGCTTGGGCTTGTTAAAAACGCCCGGCTGAAGACCAAAAGACAAACTTGCTCTCCAGATCTCTCAAATAAATGGGACAGGGCGCCATCTCTGCGAGCATCTGGGGGAGCTGACTGTCTTGGCCTGAGAAGTCAGAGAAGCCGAGCAGACCACCCAGCACTCCATGGCAGTGGAAGTGTGGTGTGTTCTTCACAGGTGCACGTGCGCGTCTTCTACTGAACAACAACCTGCGTGCCAATCCTTACTTCCCATGACTTTGCCTCCGGCACTCGCCAGTGGGATTTTGGGGTTGTAAAGTTTCTCGCAAACCCCTGAAACCTACACGATCTGCACCCACGCCGCGATCTGCCATGAGCTTCAGGTGTTCCTCCTCAGGCGCAGAGGTTCGGCTGAAAAGCTAAACAGGCCCATTAATGCTAGCAGCCCGTCCAGCTTCGACGCCGCCCATCAGGAGCTTCGACCCATCTGCACTTGGAGAAACCCCAACCCAAAACCGCAAAGAACCGCAAAAGAACCGCAAAAGAACCGCAAAGGCCGTGGAGGACAAAGGATGGCCTCGTTGACCCACGCAGTCCAAGTCCGTTCCTGGAATTGGACTTTGCCGAAAAGGGGTTTTGGAAGACTTCGAAGTTGAGGGGTGTTTCGGGCATGCTGATGTGAGCGGGGCAGAGGAACCACGAGGCCAAGCTGCAACACTCCGCGCGCAACAAGCTCTACACCCTCGACGGTTACCCTTCTACACTACACGACCACTCTACAGAATATTCACGACCAACTCACATCATGACGACCGCACCACTCTTGGCATTCTCCTGGTTGACGAAAACTCCACGACCATCCGGCCAGTGGCGAGCACCCCCTGTGCAGAGCCTAGGCCCACGTCTCTACAGCATTCTACACCCGAGCCTGAGACGAATACAGCAAATCAAACAATGTTCGTTGAGATAAAAGCTCAGATGTGCTGACGTGTCTAGATGTCCCTTAACAACCCAAAGCACCTCTTGCAGCCCAAGCTGCACAGCTGGGGAGTCAGGCTCACGGAAAAGGCGGCCACTCTGCATCAGCACCTGCTCCTGGCTGTGGCATCTAAACCTCATAGCATTTGTTTGCCACCTGCCTCGCAGCCCCACACCACACCGCAGGCATGCCGCCACGAGGGATCTGCCCAAGCCTACGTACACTTCTTGCATCGCGCGCAAACACTTTTGGAACGCCTGAATGTCTGAATGCGGCACAAAACTTCGGCTCCCACCCCCGAGGGTGAGGGGAACATAGGAACATAGGGGAACAATGACCAGCCGGGCATGGCCCTTCAGGCCTTTAAAAAAGATTGCACCCTTTGCAAGCAGCGATCCGCAAGACAAATATGCGCCTCTTACTGAAAGAGCTGACTGCTTGTGGAAGATGGGTTGCAACCAGCTTGGGCAAGCCTCTGTCTCAACTCTGTTCTGCGGTTTCCTTTGTCATAAGCACTACGGTGGTTCTACAAGGGTCTCTCTGTGGATATGAATCTGAAGATCTGCATGGTTATGTACTTCTGTATCATCTGGCTTCAGGGAAGTCACACAAAGGCGTGCGACACCGGCTCTTTGAAGGATTGCAGAGGCTCGGCACGTGACGAGCTACGTTCCTCCCGGTTGTGCTCGGACACATCTGCAACCTTGGGCTCGACAGGTTCCACCACTGTCGCCTTCGAAGGCGCAAATGAAGAAGAGTCGATCCGACTGGATCGGAGACTTCCTCTTGACCCTGTGCCCGGGGCTGTGGGCACGACCTCCACGGTAAGTAAAGAGAGGCTGGCAATGAGGAGGTTGATGTCGTACACGGGCAGTGTCCCGAGAGGCTTGACGACATCCCTCTCGTCCATCGACAACAATCTTGCTGTGACAGCCTTCAGCTGAGAGCTAACGTCCGCGGGCGTGGGCATCTGCTGCAAATTGAACAGGAGTAGCTCCTTCTGTCCACCAAGAGCAGCGCGGAAGACCAAAGCCGAGCATGTCATCGTCACCAACAGAAGCAGGGATACTCCGAGGGCTCCCATAAGCACTGTGGAGACCGCGTCCGCAAAATCTTGCATGCTCCCCTGGATGGCATCCAGGTGCAGCGCAGCGGAAGCCACCAGAAGGGTGATGCATACAGACATGAGGCAATCCAGCACATTCAAGAGCGGAACTTTCCAAGGCCAGGAGCGGGATTGGACGGTGAGGAAAACCAGGAGCACCAAGGTCGCGCACACGATCTGCACTGGGGGGTGATCTGTGGCAAGTGCAATGGGCAGTGACAGCAACGGACCCCGCATCAGCAACGGGACACCAAACCACCAGCTGTCCAGACGGAAGCGGAAGACAAGGAAGCGGAATGAACGAACTCGATCGTGCAGTCCCATTCCACTCCACTTTGGCATCATGACCACGGCCCACGTACAGAGAGCGAGAAAACCCAACACCCCCATTGCGAGCAGCGTCACGCCTGCCACTTCCATGATGATGTGCTCTTCAGAACCACATGTGGCCCCAGGGAACTTGAGGATGCTGTAGATGCCGTTGGGATGGCTGAAGCAGGTCAGAGGGGCCATTGAGATAGAACTCATCGTGCTGAAGCCGACTTGCAACACCTGGCCAATCGTGCTCTTCGTCTTGCTGGGCTCCCACCGATATGATTTGGGAAGGAACTTAGAGAGCGTGGCACAGGCGGAAAGCCACAAGACCGCCGCCGGAAAGCAAAGGACGGAGGCGACGTACCGCACGGACACCCGGCCGCCCGCGACGCAGGAGAAGGCGAAGTTGGCCATGTCAAACACGAAGATCTGGAGGAACTCGAAAATGCCCCGGATCTGCAAGGGGAAGTCCACGGTCATCATCCCCACAATTCCCATGCTTTGCAACATGGAGATGGTCATGCCGCAGGCACAGGTCGTGGTGAAGAGAACCGAAGCTTTGGCAGTGGTCTGTGAGGTGAGGACGTAGTAGATCGAAGGCAGGCCCAGACATAGAACCAGGAAGGCCAAAATCCAGCCCCCCACCTGGAATGCTGAGCAGTCCTTGCATTTGTCTACTGCCCAGGTTTGACCATCTCTGCAATCCGTACAGGCCACGTTGGTTGCACCACCACTGCAGCTTCCAGGACGTCCTCCGGAACATCGGAAAGGTTGCAAGCACCGGTAGAGGTCCAGGGGCTGCTCAACGGTGCTGAAGAAGTTCTCACGAATGTAAGGCACAAAGTCCTCTCCTAACTCGGCGGTGCCGGTTTGGAGGCTGGCCACGGTGGCCAATGCAGGGCACTCCAAGCCCTCCCCGCACTCCACGCAAGTCAGGTTCCCCTTGTCAATGAAGCCCGCCTTGCAGCCACAGTCCGAGGGAGACACCGAGCCCAGGCCAAGTGTGATGCTGCCAGGGGGGCACACATCGCAAAGAGCTGAGCCTCTCCGGTCCTGGTACTTTCCTATCTCGCAGCGGTTGCAATTGTCGCTGCCGGAAAAGTTCTGATACTCACCTAGCTGGCAAGGCTCACAGAACAGCGCCAAGAAGGACGGCTGGCTGGTTCCCGGCTCGCAAGGATTGCACACATAGGTGGCTCCTTTGACATCTGAGAGCGGAGACGAGTACCTCCCCGACGTGCAGGGGCGGCACTCCCTGTAGGTGGGGTCCTCCCTTTCGAAGGCAAAGTCCATCAGGCTGATGTCATAGAGGCCGTAACCAGCAAAACACTTCGTCTTGTCTGGCAGCCACGTCTCCCAAGAGCCTGTGTTTGACTTCAGCCAACGGCACGCCACTTCCAAGTGCGAGTCGCCAGTCTGCTTCATGTCCATCATCATCAAGTTCACGTCGTCGACGTGAAACCGCACATTTCGGATGAGGTCTTCGACACGCGGCGCCAGTGTCGACAGGTCTTGACTGACCAGCTTCGTGATGCGGCCGTCCTGAATGGCTGTTCGCTTGTCGCCGACGCTGTAGGAGTTGAAGTCGTACTCGGGGAACACGATCTTCACGGGGTCTAATTCCAGGAAAGTCGGATCTGGTGTCCACCAATAGAATGTGCTTCTGACTTTTGTCGGCAAGACTCCATACTCTCTAGCCACGGCCACTGCGAAGGGCATGTTGTAGGCGGCTGCTTTCTGCATAACATCATCCAACATCCATCCCGCACCTCCAGTGAAGTAAGGCACGCAATGAGATGTGTTTGCCCTGCAAGCCGGAGCCAGCCAGAAGTAACCATCCGGACAATATGCGATCATCTCGTTCTCCGAGAGCCGTCGGACTCCATCCGCATCGCCCGTGATCTCCAAATAGATCTCATTTGGTCTGGTCAACTTGAAGCGGGTCTCATTGCATGGGTAGATATGGCTCCGACTGACATCAGCGATACCGTCAAAGAAGTGCCAGGGCTGACTCCACGACTTGTTCCACCCTCGGAAGAAATCCAAAGCAGTGCCAAGTTGGTCGTAAGCCTCCTGTTGAGACTGCTTTGGAATAAACAAGGATGTTTGACCGCTGTAGCCCATGCTCCCGACGTCGATTGGTGCCATCGAAGGGTATTCTCTCTGGATCTCAGCCCATTCGGTGGTGTAGCCCTCGCCCCAGGTCTCGAGATTGATGTGGTTGTAAGTTACCTGGTGCCCACAGCCACGATCCTCGAGATTCATGGGGTCTACACAGCCCGCGAGTGCGTAGAAGGCATTCAACGCGCCCGGGCCAGGCCCGGTTTCGTTCACGGCGTATCCCAAACGCTCCTCTATGAGGATGTGGATGACAGCGCTCGTGACATATCCAGCGGCCCAGTCGCTGATCCAGAGGCCAAGAGGATAAGATTCACCATTAGCGTGACGCAATGTCTGCCGCTGACTTGGCGCAATGGCAGCTGGCAAGCAAGTCGTAGTCGGTGAGCTCGCTTGTGCCCGTGCCACGCGCAACTGCCACAACAAGCAGAAAGCACACACAAGTCTTGTGTGAAAGCGAGGCATCGTTTCGTTAACTATCATTTCGGCCCAAGCTTGAGCCAAATGGCTGTAGCCAATTCTCATCGGAACGGTCGGTCGTTCTTGCCACCAGTGCTTGGGGTTTCGGAGCAAACACTGAGTTCAGCTGTGGCGAAACAAAACAAACCTGCAGGGTGGGCCTCCTTCGCCTGCATGCCACCCAGCTTCGGGGGATAGGTCTGCGAGCCCATCAGAGGAAAATAGTCTCCTCGCGGACGCCCCGACACGGCCCCGACTGGGGAATCTGGGGCTTTGGCACTGGCAGCACTGGCCAGGTCCATGGGCCTGCCTACTCTCTGCAGCGCAAGACGTCTGTCAAAGGAGGTTTCGCTGAGAGGCCGTTCATGACATGAAGTCCAGCATGCAGTAGCACCAAAAACCCCCTACTGAGTCCTATTGATAGCTGCATGATTTCATACGGTCTTAGGCCGGGCCCGGTCCGTCGATGAGGCCATTGGACAGCAGCGCTTTCACCATCATGCGCTCCACCTCTGCGCGCTCGGACCGCAGCATCGACGGGACGAAGCGCAGGCCCTGGACATTCCTCGGAATGAATCCGGGCGCAAGCGGCAAAGTTCACGCCTGGGCTCTGCAGATACCTCAACTCTTTCTGCCCCCTGCCCTTGCCTGGAGACGCGAAGGTGGCTTGAGACCACATAGGACGCGTCCGCCAGGGCAACGTCGGGGATGAAGCGCTTCGGACTTTCAAAGTGCGGTCGTTCCAAGGCGGCCTCCACTTCGGAGTGCGTTCATGAACCGTCCACGTTTGGGGAGAAGTGTGTTTGGGGTTGCTGAACCGGCTCTTGCTGATAATGGCTATAGCGGCTTGCAGGTACAGGCGTTAGGAAGAGCTCGGGTAAACATGGCTCCTGCCCACAGCACGAGGCGATGAGCTTGTCAAAGAATGGCTGGAAGGTGTCGTAGCAGTCTGCGTCCCCTGCCACCGCACCTATGGGCAGTGCGCATGCAGTGCCACATGCATGATAGAGGCAGTAGCCCGCAACTATAATGCTCTCTTTTCAAAGCGGCCCCACCCAGGCCTAGGGTCTTGATCATGGGGTGTCCCCGGTTGTCCATTCCCGTCTTGATGCATTTGGCAAAGGTCACTCCCATTGGCGTCTGCCGAGCTCGCATCGCATCATAGAGGCCTGGCTCTTCTTTGAGAACATCCGCCGTGATGCTGAAGTGTCTTGAGAGATCGGGCAATTCCTCCGGACATCTGTCGGTGGGGAAGCCCTCCACCTCCTTGTCCCCAAGTCCGGGCAAGCTGGCAAAGGGTAGCCCTGTGTCGGCAGCCATGGAGGGGCCCAGAGCTCGCCCGGCTATGCGTGATGTCCCAACTGATTCTTGGGACTGTAAGCCAATGGACACGGAATGACTCTTGCGCGCACTTGGGAACCAAGCTCCATGGACGACCTCACACGCCTCACAGTAAGACTCGGAACGGTGCACAACTCAACTCTGTCGTTTTTCCTCTTGCAGCACGTCCTCTCTGCTGCAGTTCTGGACACGAAGCAAGGCTTTTCGAGGCGACAGACTGAACCCAAGCAGCATACTGATCATTGCTTCGGCAAGAAGTCTCAGCCACACTGAGGCAAGTGCAACTCCAGGTCAGGGCCTTAGATGCAAGGCTTCGCCCACTTACCGCTTTGTGCGGTTGCCACCAGAACGACACTGCGGTGCTGCAGGCATGGCCCAAACAATGCCAACCAAGTTGCTCAAGTCTGCAAAAAGCTTGAACAGGTGGTACTTCACTACTCTCACTTCATGGAACGCATTCCACTCGTCACCTGGATGACATGACAAGGCGTAGTTTTTGCACACGAACTTCAAAACAACAAGGTTGCAGATTCAACAATTCTCGCAGAAGCAACCCTCGCGTTCAAAAGCGTTGTGCAAAGTCCAAACGAGCAAGTGCGGAGCGCAAACTTAGAAGAGACTTTCTGGAGATGAGATTCCTGGGTAACAGCACGCCTCATCTCACGCGTTCTCTACACCAGATACCGTTAACTGCATGAGGCGTAATCCGGCATTTCCTAATGGCATCTGGGCATCCCTTATTCAGGCGTTTCCTTTTTTTGGAACGTGTCCTTTTCCGGAACTGCGGCATTGCATTCGGGGATCTCGTGCAGCCTTTGCAAAACACCCGACCGGTTTCTGGCCCTTTTTTTGCTGATGGACTTCCTGCCTGTCGGCTGGCCACGGAAGGTAAGCCCGCACTTCCCACTCGGGGCGCTCAAAGGAGGCCAGCAACGAAAAATGTCCGACAGCTCTTCACTTTCTGAACCTTGCTAGTTACTGCTAGTTTCCCGGGCTGAGGTCAGCTGGTCCCTTATATTGTTCCTGCTCTGCTGCCGCTTGACGTGTGCAGACTTGAGGGGGAAGATTTGCCGAGCCTCACGCAAGACTCAGGCTTGCAAAGGGACGTCCCCATCCCAGCCATGCTCAGACCAGCAAACCATATCAAGGCCATATGGAGATGTTTTGGCGGCGTTCAACTCGTCATCACAAGGAGCTGACATGTCAGTGAGCCACCCCCACAAGACTCCACCCAGAAGGAGATCGGCCTCACAGAAATGCCTCGGCCGCTAGGGCACTTGAGGCGACTTTGTTTGCACGGTGACTGTGACAGCACGAGGTGGGAATTTGGAACAAAATCGCCCGAAACATCCCAGCGTGGAATTGCAATGCTTACCTGCGACATACACTCCACGAACAATTGCGCTGGGGCAGCATGTGTGCATTCGACCACTCGAACTTCACTCATTTGGTGAGACGCCTCGAGCCCGCGAAGCCCTGAACCCGCAACAGCGCCCAGATAAGAGAGGAGCAAAGACAACCAGCGAAAACGAGCGAAGACAAGCGACGAGTTGCGAATACGAGAGAACACGAACGAAGACATACGAAGATACGCAAAGACAAGCTAATAAGACAGGCGAAGACACACGAAGACGCGTGAAGATAAGCGACGACGAGGGAAGACGAGAGACGCCGCGGGAAGACGAGACATGCCGACCGCACAAGAGAAGACGAACGACGGCGAGTGAAGACGAGTAAAGGACATCACTTGGCTTCACGCGTGGCGTCGCTCGTCGTCGCTCTGTCGCTGGTCTTCGCACGGTCGCTTGTCTTCGCGTGCCTGCGCAGATTTCCGCACGACCGCACCACCGATGCAATCATGAAAAGCAATGAAAAGCATAAACCCCCGTTCAGGAGAAGAGGCTCGAGGCGCAACCAGACAGCCATCAAAGCCGTCAATCCATGACTCTTTAGGACTTTGGGTTGCAAGGTCCAGCGAGTATCACAAAACCCCTCCCAACTGCACACCTTTCATATCATAGACTCATATGCATTGAAAACAGAAAGCACTTGCATGTCCACGTGCTCAGTCTTGCATGACATTTTGTTAGTCCACGAGTGGCTATGAGTGGCTCCTTGCCTGGTAGTTGAGAAGCTCGTCTCCTCCAGCAAGGGGCTCTGCAACTCCTTGTGCCCCTAACTTCGTGTTGGATGGAGGCCGAAAGACTTTAACTTTAATGCATCTTTGGACGCAGCAAGAAATCTGCTTGAATCTAGGCGCGGCTATTGTGAGTGGTTACAAGGCTTACACGGTAGCCCGTGCCTTGACATATGGCACATTTAGCCCCAGAATGACTCCAGGCTGTCCCTAGTGTGGTGCTAGGAAAGAAACAGGATGCCAGGACCAAGGGGGTCCACAGAGCTGCCTTGGTTGCTCAGAGGTTTCTGTACCTCCCAGCCCGCCTAGCACAGGTCCTATACGAATCCAAGCAGCCGCATCGCTCCCAGGAGGCCAGGCATTGCGTTCCAAGGGCTGCTCACGGGCTCACGGCCTCGATTTCCGATAAGGCAAGGCGAGGGGCTTACAAGCAGAACTCTGGGCCCTGCTCTTTTTGGCGCGCACGGGTTTTGAGGTGTTCTCATGATATGTATGTATGCATGTAAAGGTGTACGACGTGTTTGAACATAGGCTAAGTAGCTATGCAGCTTGCAAAAAGGATCACAAACCATGAGTCAAAGCAAAAGCGAAAAAGACAACACCCTAAGAACCCCTAAGCTATAGAACAAGCCCCCAGAATTATCAGGAGCACAAACCCTAAACCCTAAGCCTCCAGGCCCCCCTTCTCTGCCCTCTACGCCCATAAACCCTCTTGCAAAGCTCCGGGGCGGCGGCCTCCCGTTCAAGGTGGTGCCAGCTCCCGCGAATCTGAGCCCGAGAGTCAAATGCTTGCCAGGCTTTCTTCAGCTTCGGGAGCCCATGCGGGAGTTACGCATCCTGGCTCTTGGAACTACAGTGACTGCAGCCGCCAGCATAGGGTTGAAATATGAAAAATGTAAGCTGGACTGATCAATCACTGATCAACCTCGCAGCAAACAACGAACAACCTCGTTTCGACGGTTAAACTCGCACCAGGAAGTCAAGGATTCTGTCCAACATGTGCGTCCAGAAAGCATACCAAAAATTAAAGGCACGCAAGCTCCGTGGATAGTGCTCCGCAATGCAGATTGCTGGCTGAACACCTTCAAACACACCGTTGCGAGCGAGGGGTGAACCAGACTCCAGAAAGCCAACAGAGCTTTCCTACTACGGGACAGGTCAGTCCCTCACTTCTCCTGAGATACAAGTATCTCAAAATTAAAAAACACACCGCCATCGCGTGCCAGTGATCCGGCACGCACACACACACACACACACACACACACACACACACACACACACACACACACACACACACACACACACACACACACACACACACACACGCACACAAACCACGTCTAAGACCACAATCCCCCAAGACCCAGACCATTGGCACGTCACAGCCGCGACAAACACTTCCCAAAAGAAGGATATCTGCCTGACTGTCCAGCAGTCCTACTATTGAAACTCAGCAGAGTCTACTGGGTGGCGGTCGGACTGTGTCCTGTCGCAATATGGAGAGTGAGGAGAACAATGACTAGCCGTGCATCCAGCCAAACACGGCACTTCATGCCTTCATGAAGAAAACGATGCACGCTTTAAAAAGCAGCGATGCGCCAAACGCGCGTGTTACTGAAAGAGCTGACTGCTCGTGGAAGATGGGTTGCAGCAAGCTTGGGCAAGCCTCTGCCTAAAATGCTGTTCTGTGGGTTCCTAAGTCACAAGCATTAATTGCAGTAGTCACACCAGGGTCTCTCTCCATCTAGACATGATCTGTTGAGGGCTGTACAGCTGATCTAGGTTCAGGAGAGACGCTCAGATGGAGGCTTGCAACACCGGCTGTTTTTTCAAGGATTGCAGAGGCTCAGGTGACGAGCTACGTTCCTCCCGGTTGTGCTCGGACACATCTGCAACCTTGGGCTCGGCAGGCTCCACCAATTTCGCCTTCGGCGGCGCAAATGAGGAAGAGTCGATCCGACTGGACCGGGCTCTTACTCTTGACTCCATGCCCGTGGCTGCAGGCACGACCTCCACAGTAAGCAAAGAGAGGCTGGCAATGAGGAGGTTGATGTCGTAGACGGTCAGTGCCCCCAGCGGCTTGACGACATCCCTCTCATTCATCGACAACAATCTTGCTGTGACAGCCCTCAGCTGAGAGCTAACGTCCGCGGGCGTGGGCATCTGCTGCAGATTGAACAGGAATAACTCCTGCTGTCCACCAAGAGCGGTGCGGAAGACCAAAGCCGAGCATGTCATCGTCACCAACAGGAGCAGGCATACTCCGACGGCTCCCATTAGCACTGTGGAGACCGCGTCCGCAAAATCTTGCATGCTCCCCTGGATGGCATCCAGGTGCAGCGCAGCGGAAGCCACCAGAAGGGTGATGCATACAGACATGAGGCAATCCAGCACATTCAAGAGCGGAACTTTCCAAGGCCAGGAGCGGGATTGGACGGTGAGGAAAACCAGGAGCACCAAGGTCGCGCACACGATCTGCACTGGGGGGTGATCTGTGGCAAGTGCAATGGGCAGTGACAGCAACGGACCCCGCATCAGCAACGGGACACCAAACCACCAGCTGTCCAGACGGAAGCGGAAGACAAGGAAGCGGAATGAACGAACTCGATCGTGCAGTCCCATTCCGCTCCACTTTGGCATCATGACCACGGCCCACGTACAGAGGGCGAGAAAACCCAACACCCCCACTGCGAGCAGCATCACGCCTGCCACTTCCATGATGATGTGCTGTTCAGAACCACATGTGGCCCCAGGGAACTTGAGGATGCTGTAGATGCCGTTGGGATGGCTGAAGCAGGTCAGAGGGGCCATTGAGATAGAACTCATCGTGCTGAAGCCGACTTGCAACACCTGGCCAATCGTGCTCTTCGTCTTGCTGGGCTCCCACCGATATGATTTGGGAAGGAGCTTAGAGAGCGTGGCACAGGTGGAAAGCCACAAGACCGCCGCCGGAAAGCAAAGGACGGAGGCGACGTACCGCACGGACACCCGGCCCCCTACGACGCAGGAGATGGCGAAGTTGGCCATGTCAAGCACGAAGATCTGGAGGAACTCGAAAATGCCCCGGATCTGCAAGGGGAAGTCCACGGTCATCATCCCCACAATTCCCATGCTTTGCAGCACGGAGATGGTCATCCCGCAGGCACAGGTCGTGGTGAAGAGAACCGAAGCTTTGGCCGCAGTCTGTGAGGTGAGGATGTAGTAGAGCGAAGGCAGGCCCAGACATAGAACCAGGAAGGCCAAAATCCAGCCCCCCACCTGGAATGCTGAGCAGTCCTTGCATTTGTCTACGTCCCAGGTTTGACCATCTCTGCAATCCGTACAGGCCACGTTGGTTGCACCACCACTGCCGCTTCCAGGACGTCCTCCGGAACATCGGAAAGGTTGCAAGCACCGGTAGAGGTCCAGGGGCTGCTCAACGGTGCTGAAGAAGTTCTCACGAATGTAAGGCACAAAGTCCTCTCCTAACTCGGCAGTGCCGGTTTGGAGGCTGGCCACGGTGGCCAGGGCGGGGCACTCCAAGCCCTCCCCGCACTCCACGCAAGTCAGGTTCCCCTTGTCAATGAAGCCCGCCTTGCAGCCACAGTCCGAGGGAGACACCGAGCCCAGGCCAAGTGTGATGCTGCCAGGGGGGCACACATCGCAAAGAGCTGAGCCTCTCCGGTCCTGGTACGTTCCCATCTCACAGCGGTTGCAACTTTCGCTGCCGGAAAAGTTCTGATACTCACCGAGCCGGCAAGGCTCGCAGAAAAGCGCCAAGAAGGACGGCTGACTGGTTCCCGGCTCGCAAGGATTGCACACATATGTGGCTCCTTTGACATCTGAGAAGGGCGACGAGTACCTCCCCGACGTGCAGGGGCGGCACTCCCTGTAGGTGGGGTCCTCCCTTTCGAAAGCAAAGTCCATCAGGCTGATGTCATAGAGGCCGTAGCCAGCAAAACACTTCGTCTTATCTGGCAGCCACGTCTCCCAAGAGCCCGTGTTTGACTTCAGCCAACGGCACGCCACTTCCAAGTGCGAGTCGCCAGTCTGCTTCATGTCCATCATCATCAAGTTCACGTCGTCGACGTGAAACCGCACACTTCGGATGAGGTCTTCGACACGCGGTGCCAGTGTCGACAGGTCTTGACTGACCAGCTTCGTGATGCGGGCGTCCTTCATGGCTGTTCGCTTGTCGCCGACGCTGTAGGAGTTGAAGTCGTACTCGGGGAACACGATCTTCACGGGGTCTAATTCCAGGAAAGTGTGATCTGGTGTCCACCAGTAGAATGTGCTACTGACTTTTGTCGGCAACACTCCATACTCTCTAGCCACAGCCACTGCCAAGGGCATGTTGTAGGCGGCTGCTTTCTGCATAACGTCATCCAACATCCATCCCGCACCTCCAGTGAAGTAAGGCACGCAATGAGATGTGTTTGCCCTGCAAGCGGGAGCCAGCCAAAAGTAACCATCCGGACAAAATGCGATCGTCTCGTTCTCCGAGAGCCTGCGGACTCCATCCGCATCGCCCGTGATCTTCAAATAGATCTCATTTGGTCTGGTCAACTTGAAGCGGGTCTCATTGCATGGGTAGATATGGCCCCGACTGACATCAGCGATGCCGTCAAAGAAATGCCAGGGCTGACTCCACGACTTGTTCCACCCTCGAAAGAAATCCAAAGCAGTGCCAAGTTGGTCGTAGGCCTCCTGTTGAGACTGCTTTGGGATAAACAAGGATGTTTGACCGCTGTAGCCCATGCTCCCGACGTCGATTGGTGCCATCGAAGGGTGCTCTCTCTGTATCTCTTCCCATTCGGTGGTGTAGCCCTCGCCCCAGGTCTCGAGATTGATGTGGTTGTAAGTTACCTCGGGCCCACAGCCACGATCCTCGAGATTCATGGGGTCTACACAGCCCGCGAGCGCGTAGAAGGCATTCAAAGCGCCCAGGCCGGGCCCGGTTTCGTTCACGGCGTATCCCAAACGCTCCTCTATGAGGATGTGGATGACAGCGCCCGTGACATATCCAGCGGCCCAGTCGCTGATCCAGAGGCCAAGAGGATAAGATTCACCATTAGCGTGACGCAATGTCTGCCGCTGACTTGGCGCAATGGCATCTGGCAAGCAAGTCGTAGCCGGTGAGCTCGCTTGTGCCCGTGCCACGTGCAACTGCCACACAAAGCAGAAGGCGCACACAAGTCTTCTGTGGAAACGGAACATTGCTCGTCAACCGTTCGTTAACAATCATGTCTGCCCAGGCTTGAGCAAAATGACTGTAGCAAATTCTCATCGGAATGGTCGGTTGTGCTTGCCACCCGTGCCTCAGACGCAAGAGCTGCTGTGGCGAAACAAAACAAACCTGCAGGGCGGGCCTCCTTACGTCTGCGAGCCCATCAGAGGAACATAGTTTCCTCGCGGCAGGACGCCCCGACACGGCCCCGACTGGGGAATCTGGGGCTTTGGCCCTGGCAGCACTGGCCAGGTCCATGAGCCTGCCTACTCTCTACCAGGGCAAGACGTCTGTCAAAGGAGGTTTCGCTGAGAGGCCGATCATGACATGAAGGAGTCCAGGATGCAGTAGCACCCAAAACCCCCTACTGAGTCCTATTGTTAGCCACATGATTTCATGCGATCTTAGGCTGGGCCCGGTCCGTCGATGAGGCCATTGGACAGCAGCGCTTTCACCATCATGCGCTCCACCTCTGCGCGCTCGGACCGCAGCATCGACGGGGCGAAGCGCGGGCCCTGGACATTCCTCGCGGAATAAATCAGGGCGCAAGCGGCAAAGTTCACGCCTGGGCTTTGCAAATGCCTCAACTCTTTCTGCCCCCTGCCCTTGCCGGGAGACGCGAAGGTGGCTTGAGACCACATAGGACGCGTCCGCCAGGGCGACGTCGGGGATGAAGCGCTTCGGACTTTCAAAGTGCGAAGGCGGCCTCCACTTCGGAGTGCGTTCATGAACCGCCCACGTTTGGGGAGAAGTGTGTTTGGGGTTGCTGAACCGGCTCTTGCTGATAATGGCTATAGCGGCTTGCAGGTACAGGCGTTAGGAAGAGCTCGGGTAAACATGGGTAAACCCTTTCTCTCCTGCCCACAGCACGAGACGATGAGCTTGAGGACGGCTGGAAGGTGTCGAAGCAGTCTGCGTCCCCTGCCACCTCACCTATGGGATGGGCAGTGTGCATGCATTATAGAGGTATAAAGGGCAGTAGCCCGTAAATTATACTGCTCTCTTCTCACAGCGGCCCCACCCAGGCCTGGGGTCTTGATCATGGGGTGTCCCCGGTTGTCGATTCCCGTTTTGATGCATTTGGCAAAAGTCACCCCCATTGGCGTCTGCCGAGCCCGCATCGCATCGTAGAGGCCTGGCTCTTCTTTGAGAACATCCGCCGTGATGCTGAACCGTCTTGAGAGATCGGGCTATTCCTCCGGACATCTGTCGGTGGGGAAGCCCTCCACCTCCTTGTCCCCAAGCCCGGGCAAGCTGGCAAAGGGTAGCCCTGTGTCGGCTGCAATGGAGGGGCGCAGAACTCGCCCTGCTATGCGTGGCGCCCCAACTGATTCTTGGGACTCTTGCGCGCACTCGGGAACCAAGCTCCATGGACGACGTCACACACCTCACAGTAAGACTCGGAACAGTGCACAAGTTGGCTTCAGCGAGAAGTCTCAAAGCAGCCGCTCGACGCCCACACTGAGGCAAGTGCAACTCCAGGTCAGGGCCTTAGATGAGGTGACTTCGCCCCACTTGCCACCGGAACGACACTGCGGTGCTGCAGGCATGGCCCCAATGCCAACCAAGTAGCCTAGGTCTGCAGAAAGCTTGAACAGCCGGCACTTCTCTGCTTTCACTTCATGGACCGCATTCTGCTCACCTCGAAGACATGACAAGGCGTAGTTTTGGCCCACCCACTGAGCTTCCAACAACAAGGTTGCAGACTGAACAAAAACAACAGGCGCATTCGAAAGCGGAGTGCAAAGTGCAAACGGGCAAGGGCGGAGCGCAAGCTTAGAAGAGACTTTTTGGGGATGAGATGCCGGGGTAACAGCATGCCTCCTCCCACGCGCTCGCTCCACCAGATACCGCAAAACTGCATGAGGCGTGATCGGGCACTTCCCAATGCGAAGACAGGCGAAGAGTTGCGAGTACGAGAGATCACGAGCGAAGACGAACGAAGACGCGCCAAAACGAGCGAAGACACGCGAAGACGCGCGAAGACGAGAGACGCCCAGCGAAGACGAGACACGCCGACCGAAGTGCATAAGACATCTGACACCTACGCGAGACCCCGAATGTAACTATATTAAGGGCCAGGCATTCCGTTCCAAGGGCTGCTCACGGGCTCACGGCCTCTATTTCTATGAGGCAAGGCGCAAGGCGAAGCTTACAAACAGAACTCTGGGCCCTGCTTTTTTTTGGCGCGCATGGGTTTTGAGGTGTTCTAGGAGGTTGGACCTGTGTGTCTTCATGGCCCTTTGCGTTTTCTTCGCGTGGTAGCAATTCTGTGCAGATGGGAGTCGCCTCTTGCTACATCTGCGAACATCTATTTACCCGGTCTTATCCATAAGATGGGTGTGTGTGTGTATGTATACATGTATGCGTGATATGATCTGTATGCATGTATATGTGCACGACATGGTGTGCGTGTGTGTGTGTGTGTGTATGTATGTATATATTTGTATACAAGGACATATGCTAAATAGATATGCAGCTTGCGCAAGAGGATCCCAAACCATGAGTCAAAGTAAAAACGAAAGAAAGAAAACACCCTAAGCTATAGAACAAGCCCCCATGATTATCAGGAGCATAAACGCCCTAAGCCCCCTTTTTGCACTCTAAGCCCATAAACCCTCTTGCAAAGCTCCGGGGCGGCCTCCCCGGTCAAGGTGGTGCCAGCTGACGCGAATCTGAGCTCGAGAGGCACATGGTTCATTGCAGGCACGTAAGCCCCATCCCGTAGATAGTGCTCCGCAACGCAGATTGCTGCCTAAACACCTCAAACAAGCCCCGCACAGCAATACCTTGCCACATGCTCCCTCGCGTTTTAGTAGAGCTCGACGCTCACTCGCGCGCAAGGCTGGCAAGGTTTGCCGGTCATCAAGTCAAACTACTGTCTTGCAGAGTCTTGCAGGACATGAGGGGGAAACCAGATTCCAGAAAGCCAGCAGAGCTTTGCTACCAGTACTACGGCACTACAGGACAAAGTCAGTCTCCCCCCTCACCTCTCCTGAGATACCAATATCCCATCTGCACTAAGTGAGTGTCTTATACGCCATCACATGCCAGTGATCTGACACACGCACACAAAACAAGGTCTAAGACCTCATTCCCCCCAAGACCCCTAAACCCAGATCATTGGCACGTAGCAATATGAAGGGTGAGGATTAAAATGACTAGCCGCGCATGGCCCTTCATGACATCATGAAGAAACGATGCACTCTTTAAAAAGCAGCGATGCGCTGAAACGCGCGCCTGTTCCTGAAAGAGCTGACTGCTCGTGGAAGATAGGTTGCAACCAGCTTGGGCAAGCCTCTGTCTAAAATGCTGTTCTATGGGTTCCTAAGTCACAAGCATGACAGTAGTTCCGCCAGGGTCTATCTCTTTAGCTGAAGATATACTTTTATACATGTAGATCATATTCACGTACAGGAGGTCTCTGAGGAAGGTACATGTGATCTAGCTTCAGGGGAGATGCTCAGATAGAGGCCTGCAGCACCGGCTCTTTGAAGGATTGCAGAGGCTCAGGTGACCAGCTGCTTTCCTCGTGCTTGTCCTCGGAAACGTCTGCGGTCTTGGGCTCAGCAAGCTCCACCACATTCGCCTTCGGCGGTGCAAATGAGGAAGAGTCGATTCGACTGGACTGGAAACTTACTCTTGATTCTATGCCCGCGGCTGCGGGCACGACCTCCATGGCAAGTAAAGAGAGGCTGGCAATGAGGAGGTTGATGTCGTAGGTGGGCAATGCGCCGAGGGGCTTGACGACATCCTTCTCGTCCATCGCAGACAAACTTGCTGTGACAGCCCTCAGCTGAGAGCTAAGCTCTGCGGGCGTGGGCATCTTCTGCAAATTGAACAGGAATAATTCCTGCTGTCCACCAAGAGTAGCGCGGAAGACCAAAGCCGAGCATGTCATCGTCACCAGCAGGAGCAGGGATACGCCGAGGGCTCCCATGAGCACTGTGGAGAGCATGTCCGCAAAATCTTGCATGCTTCCCTGGATGGCATCCAGGTGCAGCGAAGAGGAAGCCACCAGAAGGGCGATGCATAAGGACATGAGGCAATCCAGCAAATTCAAGAGCGGAACTTTCCAAGGCCAGGAGCGGGATTGGACGGTGAGGAAGACCAGGAGCACCAAGATCGCGCACATGATCTGCACTGGGGGGTGATCTGTGGCAAGCGCGATGGGCAGTGACAGCAACGGACCCCGCATCAGCAACGGGACACCAAACCACCAGCTGTCCAGACGGAAGCGGAAGACAAGGAAGCGGAATGAACGAACCCGATCGTGCAGTCCCATTCCACTCCACTTTGGCATCATGACCACGGCCCACGTACAGAGAGCGAGAAAACCCAACACCCCCACTGCGAGCAGCATCACGCCCGCCACTTCCATGATGATGTGCTGATCAGAACCACATTTGACCCCCGGGAATTTGAGGATGCTGTAGATGCCGTTGGGATGGCTGAAGCAGGTCAGAGGGGCCATTGAGATAGAACTCATCGTGCTGAAGCCGACTTGCAACACCTGGCCAATCGTGCTCTTCGTCTTGCTGGGCTCCCACCGATATGCCTTGGGAAGGAACTTAGAGAGCGTGGCACAGGCGGAAAGCCACAAGACCGCCGCCGGAAAGCAAAGGACGGAGGCGACGTAACGCACGGACACCCGGCCCCCTGCGACGCAGGAGAAGGCGAAGTTGTCAATGTCCAACACGAAGATCTGGAGGAACTCGAAAATGCCCCGGATCTGCAAGGGGAAGTCCACGGTCATCATCCCCACAATTCCCACGCTCTGCAACATGGAGATGGTCATCCCGCAGGCACAGGTCGTGGTGAAGAGAACCGAAGCTTTGGCCGTTGTCTGTGAGGTGAGGATGTAGTAGAGCGAAGGCAGGCCCAGACATAGAACCAGGAAGGCCAAAATCCAGCCCCCCACCTGGAATGCTGAGCAGTCCTTGCATTTGTCTACGTCCCAGGTTTGACCATCTCTGCAATCCGTACAGGCCACGTTGGTTGCACCACCACTGCAGCTTCCAGGACGTCCACCGGAACATCGGAAAGGTTGCAAGCACCGGTAGAGGTCCAGGGGCTGCTCAACGGTGCTGAAGAAGTTCTCACGAATGTAAGGCACAAAGTCCTCTCCCAACTCGGCGGTGCCGGTTTGGAGGCTGGCCACGGTGGCCAATGCAGGGCACTCCAAGCCCTCCCCGCACTCCACGCAAGTCAGGTTCCCCTTGTCAATGAAGCCCGCCTTGCAGCCACAGTCCGAGGGAGACACCGAGCCCAGGCCAAGTGTGATGCTGCCAGGGGGGCACACATCGCAAAGAGCTGAGCCTCTCCGGTCCTGGTACTTTCCTATCTCGCAGCGGTTGCAATTGTCGCTGCCGGAAAAGTTCTGATGCTCACCTAGCTGGCAAGGCTCACAGAACAGCGCCAAGAAGGACGGCTGACTGGTTCCCGGCTCACAAGGATTGCACACATAGGTGGTGCCTTTGACATCTGAGAGGGGCGACGAGTACCTCCCCGACGTGCAGGGGCGGCACTCCCTGTAGGTGGGGTCCTCCCTTTCGAAAGCAAAGTCCATCAGGCTGATGTCATAGAGGCCGTAGCCAGCAAAACACTTCGTCTTATCTGGCAGCCACGTCTCCCAAGAGCCTGTGTTTGACTTCAGCCAACGGCACGCCACTTCCAAGTGAGAGATGCCACTCTGCTTCATGTCCATCATCATCAAGTTCACGTCGTCGACGTGAAACCGCACACTTCGGATGAGGTCTTCGACACGCGGTGCCAGTGTCGACAGGTCTTGACTGACCAGCTTCGTGATGAAGGCGTCCTTCAGTGCTGTTCGCTTGTCGCCGACTTTGTAGGAGTTGAAGTCGTACTCCGGGAACACGATCTTCACGGGGTCTAAGTCCAGGAAAGTCGGATCTGGTGTCCACCAATAGAACGTGCTTGTGACTTTTGTAGGCAATACTCCATACTCTCTAGCCACAGCCACTGCCAAGGGCATATTGTAGGCGGCTGCTTTCTGCATAACATCATCCAACATCCATCCCGCACCTCCAGTGAAGTAAGGCACGCAATGAGATGTGTTTGCCCTGCAAGCCGGAGCCAGCCAGAAGTAACCATCCGGACAAAATGCGATCGTCTCGTTCTCCGAGAGCCTGCGGACTCCATCCGCATCGCCCGTGATGTTCAAATAGAGCTCATTTGGGCTGGTCAAAGTGAAGCGGGTCTCATTGCATGGGTAGATATGGCCCCGACTGACATCAGCGATACCGTCAAAGAAGTGCCAGGGCTGACTCCACGACTTGTTCCACCCTCGGAAGAAGTCCAAAGCAGTGCCAAGTTGGTCGTAAGCCTCCTGTTGAGACCTCTTTGGCATAAACAAGGATGTTTGTCCGCTGTAGCCCATGCTCCCGACGTCGATTGGCGCCATCGAAGGGTACTCTCTCTGTATCTCTTCCCATTCGGTGGTGTAGCCCTCGCCCCAGGTCTCGAGATTGATGTGGTTGTAAGTTACCTGGGGCCCACAGCCACGATCCTCGAGATTCATGGGGTCTACACAGCCCGCGAGTGCGTAGAAGGCATTCAACGCGCCCGGGCCAGGCCCGGTTTCGTTCACGGCGTATCCCAAACGCTCCTCTATGAGGATGTGGATGACAGCGCTCGTGACATATCCAGCGGCCCAGTCGCTGATCCAGAGGCCAAGAGGATAAGATTCACCATTAGCGTGACGCAAAGGCTGCCGCTGACTTGGTGCAATGGCGTCCGGCAAGCAAGTCGTAGCCGGTGAGCCCGCGTGTGCCCGTGCCACGTGGCACTGCCACACAAAGAAGAAGGCACACACAAGTCTGTGGAAGCGAAGCATCGTTCGTTAACTGTTCGTTAACAACCAAGGCTGCCCCAGCTTGAGCACAACAGCTGTGGCCAATTCGTTTGTTCTTGCCACCTGCGCATGGGGTTTGCAAGCACTGAATTCAAGAGCTGCTGTAGCGAAACAAAACAAACCTGCAGGGCGGGCCTCCTTGCTTCGGGGGATAGG